CGGCGGGGAGCCCCGCCGAGAACGGGGGGGAAGGCGGGGAGGGGGGTGTCGTGCGCCCCCAGTCACGGGCTGCGGGTAGCACCGCGCCGCAGAAGCAGCGGGCAGGAGGGACTGCAGCCGGCTGCTCTGGTGGAAGGAGCTCACCCTCTGCACCGCACACGCACCTGCACTGCACTGGGACCTGATTTCTCCAGTGCTGGTGCACAGCAGAAAATCGTACTTCCCTTGGTGTGTGTATCTTTAAGGGGAAACTGTGGTCAGTGTTATGAAGAAGTACTGTTTATAATAGACACAAGTAACAGCTATATAAGTGTACTGCTGTAGTAACTTTACTGAGTGTTTGTGGTTTAATTAATGCGGCTTCAGCGTTTGTGCTTTGTTGCTGTGTGTCATATATTTGTGCAGTTTTTAGCCAAGAGCTTTTAAGTCATAGATGGCACAGACCATTTGAAAACAAGGTTAGCTTATTTAGTAGAAGAACGAACATCTTGGCAAGCCATCAGACAAGGATAAAAGCAAAAACGTGCAGATGTAATAAGAAAATTATATTAAAATGATTTTCTTTCAGCGTGCATGTTTAAAGCACAAAATTGTTCTAGGAAATGGATTTAAAATAATAAAACACTTACCTGAGTTTTTACGCGCTTCTGCTATTGTCTGCTTTTCTGCTGTAGTCTTGTGGCAGAGAGGAGAAAGGGGACTACCGTTACCTTCCTTGGTAGTAAGAGGAGCGGCGTTGTGCCTCGGTGTTTTCTGCCATCGTCTGTATTTCTGCAAGAGAAGGGAGAAAGGTCCTGCCTTACAAGCTTCATAGTGAGAACTCAAATGAGTGCTCTTTGAGGCCGTTTTTAGTATCAGAATGATTTTCGAATAGATGTGGGGAAAGTTAGACAAACATGAGTAGTTCTGTGGGAGTCAGTGGACTGTTTCTTTGCCAGGGTAATCATCCAAATAGTTATTTGTAACAATGCAGTTCAGTATTTTTCCATGTAGATTGGTCACCCTCAAGCTGTGGGACTTCTGTGACCGCTTCAGTATGAGCTGCTGCTGAAATCTGTCCTGTGCTGTTGTGTGCTCCTTGTGCTGGGCCCTGTGATATCTGACTCAGGGGAGTTAAGCAGGCTGGAAACTACTGAGATGAATAATAGATGGTTATTTTTTTTAGCTGGATTTGGCTGCAGCTAGTGCTGGAACAATAGAATGGACAAGTATGAAGGCAAAGCTGCCAACGGGACTTTTCTTTTTGGGAACATGCTGTTACGATAAGAGCCGAAACCTCAGTTGTACTCTGAGCATCAGAACAAACTTATTTCATAAAATTTAGTGGGCCTTTGTTGTATCTTGTGGAATTTGTGAAAGGTTTGACTATCCCACCTGTTATTCTTCAGCGGAGATTAACAGAAATGGGTGTATAGTGGATGGCAAAATACGGTTGTCAACACAGTAGAATAGAATAGAGTCATTTAGGTTGGAAAAGACCTTTAAGATCATTGAGTCCAACTGAATATGCAAGATGAAGAGCAGGATGAGGTACTGGCAGTGATGAAGCAACGTGAAACCTTGAAAGTGAGGGTGAGTGGTTTGAACTTACAGGGGAAAGACAAATGATCTGTCACTGTGAAAACTTCAGAGAGGGTAGCTGCAGATAATTTGGACTCCCTGCTTCTCTTATGCTTGACGCCAGGACATAGGCTGCCAAAGGAAGGAAAATGGTGATAGAAAACTTAATTGACTTGCGTTTGGATGTACTGCGAGGAGAAGGGATCGAGTTGAGCAGTCCAGCATTCAGATTGCAGCTTCACCAGCTGCAGTGCTTTAACTTGCTGTCTCTGCCCCAGAAGAAAAGCAAAACACATTATTTGTTGACTTTGTGCTACTTGATTTGGAAAACTCGTAAATATTTAGCGTCCCTTATGTAAATAAAAACACACCAGAAAGTAACAGTTAAGGTATTCGGATAGGAATGCTGGCATGTGAAGTGAGCAAAAGTGATTGCATCAGTCCGAGCTGGAAATGAGCTAAAATATTCATAAATTAAATACAAATGCACCACCACGTTACATCTAGTGAGTCATTTTGTCCTCTTTGTACCTGGGTAACTCGTTTATGTATCTGGAAATGAGCTTTTCACCGGGTACAGATTTGATGTTACAGCTCTGGAGGAGTTATGAGAGGAGGTATTTGCTTACGCGTTCTGTAATTCCCACCCCCAAGCCCATGCCTCGTTTGTTGATTTTAATGTACGAAAAGATTCTTAGCAGAATCCAGTTTGGCCTTGTAGATAATGTAGGCCATAGATTGCAGTCTGTGATTCCTGGTTTTAGCTTTGAAATGATAAACAGCTTTAAAAACAGCCTCTGCTATCATTCTGCATACTTTTTAAGATAAGCTATGTGCTAATGTGCTAATGTTTATTGTAAGCTGTTCTGCAAATTCAGAACTGATCTGTGTATGCATATTTCATAAGTCTGTAATAAAGATTAGAAAGGACAGATTATTTTCCTCTGGAAGTTGCTAGTAAAAATTATTGAACAGGTATAGCTTCTCTTTTCACTTCATGCTGCTATTGGGAATATTATCCAGAGGCTGAGCAAGACATGTTAGTCTGCTCTTAAGATTATATCTCCAAGACACAATTTGGAATTTCCTGCATGGGCTATTTTATAGACTTTGCCCGTTTTTTTTTTTCTCAACCAAGTTTGCCACTATTATTCAGTACAAGTCTTAAGCTGCCTTGTACTTACTCGCTCTTTAGGATTTTGCTTTTTAAAACCTTTTTATGGCCTATACTTCTGTTTATTGGGAAGCTAGTGACCAGAAACTGTAATTATGTATACATCTGGTACTTTGGTGCCATTTAGAAATTTGTGGTACTTGATTGTGAGCCAAAGAAGCAAGGAACACTTGCTGTTCCTGGGGTTTCAGATGCAGGCATTTTATGTGCTGGTCAGTGACCTCAAGGGTTGCAACACTCATCGTATTTTTCAGATATGCACCAGTCACACAGCAATTAATGCAGTTTGGTGTTCTTTAATGTTTTTAGTCTTTATGTATGATTTTATAGAATTACGCATTCATATAATCCCTGTTATATTGCGGTGGCAGGCAGCGTTTAAGGTCAGGTTAAATATTAGCAAGCTATATGTGGTTTGTGCCTTCTATTTATAGGTGGAAGAAGCAACTCTGCTGAATAATACTTCATGGCGTTTACTCTTTAAAGACTTCTTTGAAATATTTTTGATAGTATTGACGTTTTACTGACTAGCAGTTTTTAGAAAAGGCATATTATACGTATTTTATACATAATTTCATTATTTCTCAACAGCTAGTAATGTGGTAGAGATCAGAGGTGCTGTCAGAATTGAACAAATTAGTTTCAAGCATTTTATGGTGAAATATGTAGAGAAAAGTACGAGTTAATTAGAGTTATCTGAGAGTCACTGATACTTACCGTGGTGTTATTTAATTTATTTTTTCATAGCCATCGTGAAACTATGTGGAAATGGGGTAGTGGCGATGATTCTCCTTCCAAAACGGTAGTAAGTATTGAATTACTATTAAATAATATTTTCTTAAGAATTTCTGACTTAGAGAATCTTTAATTGCTGATATACTCATCACATGTATTTGCTCTTTCGGAAATAAGTTGCTCAACTAGTTTTACCATGACTCGGTTTTAAAAGCCAGGTTGAGTTCTTGCTTCCTGTCTGCTTGGTATTTGATCTCTCGTGCGTAACGCAGCTGCTCTATTCCTCTTCACTATGCTTATCTTCCTTTAACAAAACATCTGTAGGAATGGCATAAGCTTTATGCCAAGTGTATTTTTTGTGTATAGTATGTTCAGTATCAGTATTTTGTTGCCACTACGTTCAGTAACACTACTACTGGTTGTTAGGATGCAAATCCAGTAAATGTGGAAATTCAGTTTTAGATACCTAGATGGTTTTGCTGTATTTCAAAGAAATATTCCTAAACCGGTTTCTAAGATTTATCATTTCATGTATCTATCAAACTTGCTAAAAACGGTCTGGTATAGGTACATACAGTATATGTAAGTTTTAGTATTGCACTTTGGTAAGATTTGCTGAATGTGGTTAAAAAAACCCAAACACCACCTCATGACTTTTTTGCAGCGGCAGTATTGTCTGCACCATTTTGTTTGTTCAAAGTATACTTAATGTCTGCAGGCTGCAGGCTCACAAGATGCGAGAAGCATGTCGGTGGCGGATTTGGCTGAACAGCTGACAAGTACTGAACAGCTGGTAACACAACTAAAGGAGCTTGTCAGAGAGAAGGATGCTGAGCTTCGAAATAAAGATCTTCAGTTAAAGGTACCGTGCGTGTATTCTTGTCAAGGAGGCTGGTTAAAAAAAACCCTTCAGTCCTGTTTATCATGAGCTGTTTTCGTAGATATAGGCTTACAGTCAGTTCTAGCAACTCCAGGAGCACAGGAAGCGTTGGTCACAATTAGCTGTTAGGGTTCCTGGCCATTACCCTTTTTGCCAGTGCATCTTCTGTTCCAAAATTGTAACAGGGTTTGGGTATCACACAGGCGACGTGTTCCTTGCATGAGCAGATGCACTTAATAATTGCAAGGGAGAGACCGACTTGCCGAGAGCTAGAGGTGCACGGTCATGCTAGGCTAAATATGGGGAAAAACACCATCCAGATCATTACTGGGCATTTAGTGAGATGCCAGCTTACCTCAGACTGAAATTCTGTAGATAATTTTTTACTACTTCTTCCACTATATAATATTTTTTTGTTGTATAATGATCTTACTATTAATGCTACTATACGTTATCCTCTGCTTTTGACTGGCATTAGGAAGGACGGAGCTAGAAAGAATTTGTATGTAATATCCTGAAGACTTGAGGGTTTGTTATTCTTTACTCTTTTGTTTTTTGAACAGTCATAAGGTTGGTCTGTTTCTGCAAGAGGCCATTTTTATACTTTTTAAAAAATGTCTTCTGTGGAGACTAGCAGCCAAGTGTTGAAATACCGAATTTCCTAAAACTCATTGTAAATTAAGTCATCTTTTTAAACAAAATGAAATATGCTTGTTTAGTATTACAAAGGTGTCTTTCTTTTTTGCATCCAAAAAAGAAAAAATTAACTCTTCCTGTTAAAAAATCAAGCCCTGAATTTGTATTGCTGTCAAAAACCAGGAAAATTTCTAACATTATAATGCCTTGGATTCTGTACAGTAATAATAACCGTGTGCAGAAAGTGTAAATAATTCAAGGAAGGTTGTTTCATATATGCAGACCTGTTGCATGTGACATTACAATGTCTCTTCAGGGGAAAGATCTTTTTGGAATCACTTTAGATTTCTCTCTCTCTCATGGAAGAATTGAAGGATGCAGTAGTTCATGTAGCTAATTTAGTCCTTCATGACTTTGATGTTTGTAGGAGGAGAAGGAATCTGCTGATGCCAAACTTTCCAAGTTGAAGCTGCAAAACAAAGCCAAGGTTGCGTCATTAACCTCGCAGCTGGAAGAACTTAAGAAACAGTTATCAGTATCAGGAGGCTTAGAGGCAAAAGCAGAACAAAAAAAGGTAAGTGTCCTTACATTTTAAAGCAGACATAATTTCTGTAAGGCTATAGACAGTTTTGTGTGCTGGACTCAAATGTGAAACCAAAGTTCAAATTTTGAGCTGAGTCAGATTAGGATCAGGGTAGACTGTGTGGGTGCTGTCAGTCCATCTGTGTATTTCTATTTCATTCTTCTTTTATCTTTCTATAGAAATTTAGAAAATTGTACGTTCCTTTCAAATTGTCTTAGTAAAAAAATTCTTACTGATCTCCATCTTATTAGCAGCTCAAGCTTTTAACATGTGTGAATCAGGAAGATAAGTTTTTGAGAAGAAATGAAAAGAAAACCTAACTTGTGACTTTAATGTCCAAGATAAAAATGGAAATATAAAAATGCCTTTGGTAGCGAAATGTAAATTAAGTGTAGGAATGTCTCATTTAAGTGGCCAGTGTTTTACTGTTAACAAGGATTCTCAGATCCGCTTGTAGTAGCGCAGTTGTGTGAGTAGACTTGTATTTCTTCAAAATAGCCTATTTTGACTTCATACAGCTTCTAAAATAACTTTAGTGAGACTTCAGTATTTCTAGGGCATTTGTTTTTTAAAGGTATGCTGAAAGGGAACAGAAACAGATCAGTTTGTTGAAGTCCCTAGGTGTCCTCAAAGACACACAGTGGCTAATGATTTATTATGCTTCTGATCTATTTTGCTAATAAAACATATTCTTAGCAGTAGCACTTGATTTCTTTTGTAATGGCAAATAGTTTCTTTAACCAGTAGTTATACCTACTGAAATTCTGATTGGAAAGGTTGTGCTTAGGAACAGTTTAATTTACACTTTTTCCCCCAATAGTCCTTTTTTCCCTCTGAGTTATATGGACTACGCTTGCCAGATTATATGGTTATAATTGCCGGAGGAAATGAATGCCCTTATTGCATGTTCCGGTCCACTTTGCATCAATAATTATCATTAATAATTTAAATATGAAGATTTTTACAAGCTTGATAACAAATTCTGTGCCTGATTTGTCTAGCTTCTACATGAAATCTGTAATATATAAGACAACTGAAACACAAACCATGAGTAAAGTCCACTTTTTCTCACCAGTGTTATCTGAATAGGTAGAGGTACAGCAGTCAGGTGTTACCTGCTTACAGAATGCAAAACTCCCTGTTTTTGCAGGCATCAAAAGATGGCGACCAGGAAAATGCTGCGGCAAATCGTGGGAAAATATTAGTACTGAGAAGGAGAATTGAAGAACTAGAATCCCAGATCACACAAAAAAATGAAGAGTTACAAAACAAGGTGGTGTTTTATATGATGCCAAGTGTGTGGCTTTTCACATTTGTGGTATAGGATTATGTTTAAATATATTTATTTAAATATATTTATATATCTAATTATATGTTAAATTACTAAACAGATATTCTGAGAGTTTTCCGTTGAGCAGACAGAGAAGGTCATATGCTACAACCTGCCCGAGCGAACGCAGTGAGAATTCTGTCATTTTGTCTTCAGCGGGCAGAGAACCCTCAAGCATGCTTTTGTAGTCATTTGAAAATGAATGGAATAGGATACGCAAACGTGAACTTTGTGGGTTCATGTTCTATTTAAATCTTGTATTTTGAACAAAAATGCTGTTTTGCTTCAGTTTTTTCCTGTTGTAAAAATAAGTCGTAACAGGAAGAAATGTAGGCAACGGGTGAATTCACGTTATGGTTTGTAGCTGTTCTGTGCAGTGATGTGTTTTGTGGGCATGACTGTTGACTGTGGAAAGTGGCAGGAATGTGAATGCTGCAGAATTTCAGAGAGAAAGGCTCAGTAATTAAAGATTACACTTAAAATTGAACCAGGTTATAAATTTGATGGTAATTTTTTTAGTACCCTAAAACAGGCAATAAGGAAATAATGCAAACTGTTCTTCTGTGCTGTAGATGGTGGAAGTATAGATTATAAGCAATGCTGTCTCGTCATTTTCAGAGTGTTGAACTGGAGGCCCAGCGCTGTCGTGGGGATGAAATGGATGCCATGCTGGCAGAGAAAGAAAAGAAGTTAGCTGAAAGAGATGCTTATATCATCGATTTACAGATAGCATGTGGATCAAGTGGTGTTGCCAATGAAACACTCTTGCCCAATGAAGAACTGAAGGTATATTAGCAGCTCAAATATAAAATCTCCATAGAGGTTTCAAGGAATCAACGAATTCTGATGCATTATACGGTGGAACCTTCTCTGAAGCGCAAATCCTCTGCAGTTATTCATGTGAATAAAAATTCTTTACTGATTATTTTCATTTATGTTAGTAGATCTATATTTATTTACTTCTTTTGTCAGTACCGTTTATATGTGTTAGTATTGACTTCAGAATCTGCTGACAAATTTCATTCAAATTAAAACCAAACCTGAATTTTGAGTTTAATGTGGCTTTAACTGAGGGAAGGGCTAGGAGGTGGCTTCATGATGATTGCTTTATCTTCTTTCTGGGTCAATTCTTTTAATTGGCTTTTGATTTGCACTCTAAAGAATCAGCTGGCTGTTAAAGAGTCATCACTACAAAGCATGCAGATTCTAGTTCAGAACCTTACCAAGAAGGTTGGAGACAGTGAAGAAAAATGTAGCTTGCTCCAGGAACAGATTGAGAGTCTTAAAAATATTCAGAACAAAGAAAGAGAGCGTTTCCAAGGAAAAGAAGCTACCTATATGGAAAATGTAAGTAAACACACTGTAAAAATATTTACATTCTTCAGTGGAAGAAGTGGTATCTCGGCTGTAGTGTTTCTGTCTCAGTAGTTAAGAAATGCTATTTTTAATTTGGGATGATTCTTGAGTAAAGATCTGTATCAGATGAGATGAAAATAATGGAGCAGTAGATGGTTTATGCTGGTGATAATTGAAGTTGAAAGTTTTATGCAAGAAAGGAGTTCAAGGATGCGGCTGGTGTTTGGGCCCGGAGGAGCTAGTGTGTAACAGAGTGAAATGAGTTCTTCAGAATTCTAGTTGAAGAATCTCCAAACATCTCTTTCTTGTAGCACTACATTTGAAGGTGCAAAAATGCACACATGCAGTGGCTGGTAGTGTTTTTGGATTATTGTAATCATTCTTGGCACAAATGGCTATTTGGCAGATCTCTTTCACTCGTGCTGTCAGCTAGCTGGCACACTTTTTAGTATGAGAGCATGGAAAAAAATTGTGTTTACATCCTGACTGAAAAATAGCTGAAATGGTTTGGTGTACTTAGTGGGAGACTTTTCTAGAAGTTAGCAGCTGATTAACAGCCTAATTAAATAATACTTAAAAAAAAAAAATTGGAACTAGGGGAGCATGTTACCCATTCC